GAGTATATACGGCATAGGGTTTCATAGGGATGATGTAAGGTCTCTGTGGGCATGATATCTGGTTCAGTTAAAGCCTAATGTTATTACAAAAATGGAGAATTACAAAGGAAAAGAATAGTGAACATGAAATGGAATTGGCTTAGGGCTTTACTACTCTCATGTTCACACGGAATGAAGGCATGGAAAGGAAAATGCAAACTACTCTGTTATGGAGAGGGACATAGGGGTTACCATACTGACCCATTCCTTCATCCCTTGCCAACAGGAGGTAAGCCAGTAGGGCTGTCAAGTTGTGGAGTTCAAGCAGTGTAGACCTTTTAGTTAAGGAAAAGCTTCTGTCTGGAAGCCACGGCATTTTTATGTTGCAGAGGTTTGGGGTTTAGGGTTTTTCGCAGATGTCGCTCCCCAGGATAAGCACGGAGCCACACAGTCTTGTCTTACTAGGTACCCCAGTAGCACCCTTTTTCCCTTTTTATGTTGGGGTGTCCTTATTCACGCTGAACATCAGGAAAAAGGGTACCCTTATTAGGGTTACCGGGATCCTAGTTCAAGGTGTCCGCTAGCAGCTTCATGTTCGCTCATGGGAGGGCATTAGATTAATTCCCACTACAAGCTTACCTCTGGTTAGCAAGCAATGAAAGACTGGATCCTTATAGCAGTCCCTATATATTGTCCAGTAATACAATGGTATCATTTTGTTGTTCATTCCTTCTTTCCCTGCTAAACAGAGGTAAGTTATGATATAGTCCCACAAATACCCTAGCAGCCCTGGCATCCATTTCTAGTTCCATTTGATTCTCTATTTTTGAGATTCATTGAGATAATGCCCCCAAATATCACCATGCCAAGGAATGCAGTTCAGTTGGGGATGTACCTACACGAAGAAGCAGAACAAGCAGGTGGGAGTCGTAGCTTGCATCGTGCCACGTTTTCAGGCCTTTTGCTGTGTTCGGGCTTCCTAGCAATGGATTTTGCTGTCCTTATGAGATCTACATGGCTTTGTAGGAGGTACATGTATATGATGAAGCCCTTGTTTAAGAAATGCTGGAGAGTGCCGCAAAGTGAGAACTTCTTTTTTCATAGTGCGCACCCCACCGCTGACATCGCAAGCTGTCACGGCTGGGCTTACTGAGGGGTTCATTTGGGGCCAGTATAGTACCTCATGACTGTAGACTTTGAGAAGCTGAAAACAATTTTGCGCTTGCAGGGCTATCGATTTCGTTTCAGAGGGTAGCATTTTCTCGATCCCTACTAGATATCGTGTTCCGAGCTGGATCTTACATCCAGGCTCGGTGGATTTTGGACCTTGCTGAGTTTGAAGTTGACAGCAGAAGGTCCAAAGCAACCGAGACTGTGACGGCAAGCCTGATTATCGACAGCCGCCTTGGGCCCAACAGCAAGGTGCTGCAAGCACATCCAACAGAGGACCACGACGCATAGGGCACTTGTAGCCGAAGGCGGGGTGCGAGCTACAGTTTTAGAAGATGGTGTTCGAGGCGGTAAGCGGTCTTGGACTGCCAGCCTAAAGCTTGAAACGCAGGCAGTCTAACAGCAGAAGACTGAGATAGAAACTGCAGCTCGCACTCGCGCACGAGAAGCTTCTCACCTGAGGGTGGGAAGGATCCTGTGACAACAGAAGCAAGAGATGTGGAGGAGACAAGGAGTTAGCATTCATGAGCTCCATCCGTGAATAGTTCAGTGGACGAAGAGAAGCGAGTGCTAATGTAATTACAAGGCACTGCACGTGCCAAGTCGCTAGCGGTGTGCAGAAGAATCAGAATGCAAACTGTGCCTTGGATTGAAGGACAGAACGTGTGACCGACAAGGCGGTGCAGCGATGAAAGCAGAGGCACTGTGACAGCAGCGGGTGGACATGGTCCACCCGCAGATAGAGAGAGATCAGATGCGATCAGTACATAGGGTCAAGAATCCGCCAATGAAACGTATGAAAGACATGCGAAGGCTGTCGGATCTCAGCTTACAAAGGTTCAAAGACCCAAGCCGGCACCCATGAAAGAAGGGTGCCAGGAGATCATGAGGCCTGTGCCCGCGACCCCAGCTTTGCCAGGTGTTCTGTGGAGTCCTGGATTCCTAGAGCCTCTGAAGACGATCAAAGAGCCGTGGTGGACTCAAGCGGCTCAGAGCAGATCTTTAGTAACGGCTGGCTGGCAGAATCTCACCCGTAGGCAGTAAAGACTCGAATGCGAGCAAGATATGCTTTGGAGCCAGACCAGTCTGACGAATTGAATCTAGATGTGACCAGCATTGCAGGAAGCTGGAAGACAGAGAAGGAAGTTCATTCGAGGATCAACTTGCCTCCAGCCAACATTGACAGTAAATCAGCTACGAGAATTGCGACATTTTCTGGGTCCCGATTCTGATACGGCCCCTGTTGTTCAGGGTGCCTAAAAATCACCAAGACATGGTAGTTTCCCAAAATTGGGGGACCTGCAAGATATTCTAATCCTGATTATGGGGACCCCCGAAATGGTAACCCTAATGTTGGGAAGCTCCACTATTGGCAACCTCTCCAATATTGTTGGCATCAAATCAAACTCCACGACTCCAAGCCACATGCCCCTTACTGGTGGTTAGGGCACTTTAGGGGTTAAGATTTAGGGGGCTGGACGGAGTTTGGGGAATCCTTGTCCTTCTTGGTGCCCAAAGGGGATTGGGGCAGGGAATGTACCACCATCATCATAGGGGGCTGTGTAGGCACAAAGGTGCTACTATAGGGGATTACCCTAAACCTTGACACCAAATTTACGGATCATTCTACAGATGCACTCCTCCACTTCGCTTGAAGAATCTAAGTTCCTTGATTAACGAGCATTGGGCCCTCTAGGTAGACATATAGGGTTATCTCCGTCTAAGGCAACACAGCCGCCTCACATGCCTCATAAGGGGAGTACTCCCGGGAGTACTGATGAAATGAAACATGTCTTTTAACCTCTGGATGCACACGTTGACCACACGGGGTCTTGCTTCTTACATCCATTCCAATGTCTCCATGTCCCCATCGCTTGTTTATGAGCAAGTTCGTAAACAGTCTTGCTGCAGCTTTGGAAACAGGCTAGTTCGCAGGTGGCTGCGAACAAGCCCTGAAGGGGCAAGTGAGCAAAAACAAAGCAAGATGTAAAGCCAGTCAAAGATCAGAAGTTGAAGTGTCTCGGACATGGCGCTTGCGAATCTTGCGAGAAAGTACACGTTTCGGTCCGGATGGAGCGAGGAAGAATGGACCGAGCGACGAGCGCGAACACTGTGCTAATGAAGCGCAGCAGAAAGTTTGGCCAGCCACCAGCCCTGATCGCAATCGAAATCCATTTCCATTCTAATCCATCGGTGTCATAACTTATAGGGATCCAAATAGCCCAATGTAGGTAATAGTTACAGACCTTTCGGCCCAATGTAGGTATTAGTCATTTGTATACTTAGCTCCCTAGGGATGTGAGTCATATGGTAGTCTCCCAAAATAGGGGTACCCCAATATAGACCCCAAAATACTATAGCCTTTATTGTAGGGACCCCCAAAATGGTACCCCTAATTTTGGGAAACCCCCATATGAGTTTCTGACCCGGTTTAGTGTTCAGGGTTCTGTAAGGAGCCTACCAAGCGCCACAGGAGCTCGGCTACGTGCACGGTGACATTTGCACGCCTTTCCTATCGGCCCTGACTGGAAAGGCAGGTCCGGGATTCGGTGCACAGGGTTGAGGGTTTAGGGGTTTAGGGTTAGGGGTTTGGGGATTTTGGGGTTAAGGGGTTCAGGGGTTTGGGGTTGAGGGCTATACAAGCCATGAGAATCCTTTGGGTTTAGGGCAGTGAAAACGATAAGGGAAGCAGGTTATAGGCTTCAGGGAAATTACCTCCAATAATAGAGAATAAGATGGACAAGTAAACGGAACATGAAATGGGAAACTGAGATTATACAGTGATCCACAGGAGTTTAACATGATGGGAACCCCCAAAACGGGCAGACATGGATTGCATGGGGATCATGCGGGGATATGTGGGGATGTATGGGGTTTAGGAAAATACACTCCCAAAATAGAATCGAACCTCCCAAGGTGCCTTGAAAAGATTCGGTCCTGTTAAAAGGGGGCTACATCCCCACTCATTCACAGTTGGAGAATGTTTATTATATAGCTATATATGGCCTTTAATATGAGCCCTATTATAGATTGTAAATGGGTGGGAGCAGACGCCAGGGCTGAGTTCGGGCAGGTTGAGGATGAAATGCATATCCTGTTTCTTCGCTTGTCTGCCTATGTCCCTAAAGCCTAAACCTTAGGTCAATGCCCCCATATAGTAATAGCTCCTGAATATGCAGCTAACAGGGCCTGAATATATCGACAGTAATCCGTTGTGGTACCCATTGCTGTGTGGGGGATTGACCCAACCTAAACCCTAAACCCTAGACCTCAAACCCTAGACACTACACCAGTGGAGTAAATAGAAGCAGGGGACCGGGAATCTGGTCATTTCCGGGGGTGACCTGGAAGGAACTTAGGGCTCTTTTCTTACGGGTTCTTAGTAGGGAATAAGTAAATAGAGTATATAGGGACTATATAGTAACTAGGGGTTATATATATATATATATCCCTTATTCCCTACTAAGATCTAGTAAGTTGAAGGGCCATGTTATGCCAGAATCACTTCTTCCGTGAAGGGGCGTTTACGTTCTAGCCATGGAGGTTCTGCAGTACCAGAGCCCGCATCCGTGTATCGATGATGCCTCCTTCTTATCAAACTCCTCTTATTTGTACTGTCCTTCGGAATTAGTTCTAAATTTTTCATTACAGTACAACCCTGAGGAAATATTTTCAAATAACTTTTATTATAGGTCTAAGGAGACCTGGCAAGATCACGCTCGTTGTCAGCATCAGGCTCCCTAACGACATGCCAAAGAGAACCGGAACAGGCATGGCAACTCAATCACATCCCAGCTTCAAAAAAGGTGAACGAGACAGCCGACCATTTCAATGCAGAGCGCGTTCTGGCCATGGGGCGGCTCGCAGCAAGAAAGCTTGCGCTTTGGGGTTTAGGTTTAGGGTTTAGCGTTCAGCGTCTAATGGTCAGTAATTTGTAAGGGTCAGTAATTTGTAAGGAAAGGAGGAACGGATCCACGTAGCAGCGCGTACATAATCTGTTATAGTGGTTGCTAGAGCTCATTCCTTGATTCCCTTCTGGCTAGCCAACAGCCAGAGCGGGCTGGGTTTACCGCTAAACCTCCAAGTATCCTGTTGGAAGTGGATCCGGGGTAGGATATGGTAGTTTCCCAAAATAGGGGGATCCCAATATAGAACCCAATATACTATAATCCTTAATATGGGAACCCCCAGAATGGTACCTCTAATTTTGGGAAACCCCCATATAGGAGCCCACGCAACTTTTCAAGTGGTTGTCGTGCAGTTTACCGCAAGGTCTTTAACTAGCATGCTAGAAGCAGGGGAGGAGGTCAGTTGTTGGGCGACTTGGTTTGGTGAGTTTTAGGCCAGTATGGCCCGCAGGTATTTGGTTTCAAGAGTTTTTGCGCGTGTCATCCTGTGAATTCTGTTCCAAGGTCTCAGCTTCCCCCAACAGATGCTGATGTGGTCTCCAGTCGCCTTGTAGTAAGCTCATTCTTGCTGCTTTTTACGTTTTGGTCATCTCTTTCTGTGCTTCCTAGGCCAGACCAACGTCTCAAGCACAGCATGTTCTAAACACGGAACAATTTCTGAACACGGCCCATGCTTTTTGAATCAGTGATCGCCAAAAAGGACGTCTTGAGGGACGGTGATGTCTACTGAAGCCCTTAGGACATGCATTGACTGTGTTCTATTGCTATTGGGGAAATCATTGGAGACCATGAGCCGGCAGCATGCAATAGTTTCCTTTGTGGAAAGCCAAGCTTGGATCTGAACAGGAAATAGGGTTTAGGTTGTAGAGTTTAAGGTAGGACCTAAAATCAAAACATCTTAAACCAGGACTAGGAGTGACCTTGCTGGTTGTTTGCTACTTTCCGAAAAAGAAGATACAGATCGCTTAGTAGAATTCTTTGCAGGTTTGCCATAACGGGACATTGCTCGAGCAAACTGTCTATTATTTTGAGATGGAGATGCGTGCCCATCATCCCTATATGATCTATCAAAACCCATAATGCGTACTTAATCTTCTCAAAACCCTACACAACCTTTGCATGATCCCTAGTTAGCCTTTATTGAGGCTCCTACAGCCCTAAACCTTGCATAGTCCCTCTATATCTCTACATGAGCCCTACCCTGACGCCCAAACCTTAACAACCCAAGACCCAAGACCTTTAACCCTCAACCCCCTTATTTAGCCCGTAGTAAGACTTCTGTAGTGGTGAGGTACAGCATGGGCGGCTTCGGCGCAATCCAACTCGGCTGCTGGGCACCCGAGGCAGGACTCTGGATTCTACCTTGAGTGGGTTTTTGGTTTAGGGGTTTTAGGGTTTAGGGTTTAGGATTTAGGGTTTAGGGTTTAGGCCTAGACCCCCCAAGTACCCTAAAATAGGGTCTATGTAGCTTCTATTTGGGGATTCTTAGGGTCTATAGAGGGTACT